GGAACTGAAGATTCTTTAAATTACAATCCGAACCAAAACCAGAACAGAAGCGGCAGGGTGGAGGCAGGGAGCTGGCTGGCAGGTGGGATCTATCTGGGGAGAATAGCACATGGGAATACTGGACACAGGTCTACGTTAGGAGAACAGCATGCAGAGTGAGAGCATGGACATATTCTGGCCAGCAAGCAGGAGTGAAGACCGGGCTTTATGAGGTGGAGGAGGCTGGTGGAATTCGGTGCTGCCTCTGCCAGCCAAACAAGAGGAGCCAGCCACACCCCCTTGCCACACACCAGCTCTGCAAGAGAACAGAAAAGAGGGACAGAGAGAGGACAAAAAGAAAGCACAACAACCATAGACATACTAAGCTAACCATAATATTAGGAGGTCTGTAGTGATCCTTTTAGTTAGGTTGTACTGATCCTTTAGTTAGGTTTGACTTGATACTTTAGGATCATTTAGGAGGTTGTACTGATCCTTTAGTAGGTTGTAATTATCCTTTAGGATGATTTAGGAAGGTATGTAGTGATCAGACATAAGATTTATCACTGTCTCTTTCCCTGTCTGTCTCAACTGAATCTGCTCTCTTTCAGTGGGAATTGGTGTGTTCTCTGCGTCCTCTGAACAGATGATTCAGACAATCTTATGATGGGTGGAGTTTTAACAGGCGCCATCATTTATGGTGGTCTGTCAGACAGGCTGAGACTTCACCTATTCAAACTATAAACATTATTATGTAAACTATTAAAGCTTATAAACAAGTCTATTTTTTTTTAATCTATGAATGTTTTAAGATTCTCTGTCAAACCTGTGCACCTCTTCTGTCTCTCTCTCTCTCTTCTTCTCTCCTCTCTCTCTCTCTCTCCTCTCTCTCTGTCTCTATGTCTTCTTTCTCTCTATCTCTGCCTGTCTTCTTCTCTTTCTCTCTCTGTTCTCTTCTTTATCTCTGCCTTGTTCTCTTTCTCTCTCTCTCTATCTCGCCTCTCTCTCTCTCTTCTTTCTCTGTCTGTCTCTCTCTCTCTATCTCTGCCTGTCTCTCTCTCTCTCTTTCTCTGTCTGTCTCTCCTCTCTTCAAGGTTTTGGGAGGCTGTCTGTCCTTACTTGGTCATACTTACAGCTGGCCCTCGTACTCGGTTGTAGCTCCCGCCCTCTCTTACTTCATAACACCACCTACTGCGTTTTTAGGGTTCTCTGAGTGGGATGGCAGGTTTCTGGAGTAATCCTGCAAATGGAGTCTCACTGGAGTACCTGTCTACCATGTCTACCTGTCTGTCTTTCATGTCGAGAATGCAGTTCAGGCTTTAACATTTGTTGTTTTATTGATTCTCTGGTGGAAACATACTGAGTGTCTACCTGTCCTCTGTCTACCTGTCTGCGTCCAGAGTTTTGGAGTGGATCCCGCCAAAGACACGGAGGACGTTTAGTGGGCACGTCACCTCCTTCTTCTATAACATTTGGTCAGATGATTTTGGCGGGCTTGCTATTGGCTGAGAGACTATCTCTTCATCATCAGGGAACGGCTGCTGGAGGCTGGGGTACTTCAAACGGAGTGGTCTGCACTTTCTTCAGACCTGAATCTGATAGAAAACCCTATGGGATCAGCTAAGTCATCATGTAGAGGGTCATCACCCCCCAGAACCTCAATGAGCTGAGGGCAGTGGAGGCCCATGCCTCAGCAGACAATAAGTCCACTTGTGAACAGCATGAGACGTCTTGTCGAGCTGTAATCGATGCTCAAGGACACCTGACAAGACACCTGACTAAGACATTGACATTTTCTGTTGTGGTAAACTCGCCACTGTTGTTAGCTTTTGTTTCAATAAATTGTTTAAGATGAAGAAATTACCATTGCATACAAGTAGAAACTTAAATGCTTTCATTATATAATATCACTGTGGCATTTTTACATTTTCCATAAATTTAAATTTAAAGCCGAATATCCCGAACTTTTTGTGAGTAGTGTTTATAACACAGACTAATAATAACAATCTAAAAAAATAATACATATATGATCATTTATCGATCAATCATTGATCACAGTTTTATTAGTGATGATTGATTTATCTTTATTAATGACAGCAACCGTTGTTTCATCACTGTTGTGGCTTTATTATTATCTAATCAATGCATAATCAAACATCTGACTTTAATGATTTAAACTCAGTTAAAATAGATTTCAATGTTTAAATTGTGAATTTTTTTTTGTACTTTTACACTGAAACGTGTCACTCTTTGATTCTCATTGGTTAATTTTTCTTGTCATTAATGAGTCCAGCTGTCTTATTGGTGGGGGTTCAGTGTGACTGGTGTCGTCTGATTGGTCAGAGCGCGTTGAGTCCGGTCCCTTCTGAATCCTTCAGCTCTTTTAAAGCCACGCCTTCGGTCAAGACCACGCCCACATGCCCCAAACCCCCACCCTCGTTCAATGACACGCTTTCTTGTTGTGGGGGGGTGGGATTTCTTCCAGACCTTCACACAAACAATCTTCAGTTATTGATATTTATTTATTGATAAGGTTGACAATAACCAGCAGTGTAACTAGCTCAGCTTAGCATTAGCATCACTCTGTGATTAGCTAAGCTAATACTGCTAATAAAGCAAACTGCTAGCCCTCAGCTCACCATTTGTTCTCCACGTCCTCGATGGTGTCGGGCAGCGGCATGTTCAGCGTCTCTGGCAGGAAGCAGGCAAAGCAGCCTGCCAACACTGCCGCCCCCCCGTACACCACACTGGGCAGAGCAGGGAGTACCTGGGAAATGTAGTCCATCAGTACTGTTAGCATTACTTAGCAGGATTGTTGTAAGAAAGATACAAATAAGATGCAAATAGAATGAACATAAAAACATAATTCATATAAAATAACACAAGGTAAGTCAGTCAGTTAGTCGGTTAGTCAGTTAATTTTGTCTGTTTGTCGTGTCACAGATGATGACATCTGATAAAAGAAGAATATACAGAAACTAAATTATACTATAATAACACAAATTAATTAAAATAGATTAAATGGCAGCTGCAGCTCTGGAAATTAAAACATATTCTGTGCACAACCCCCAACACTGCAGCTGGACCTCAGTCCCTAAATCTGGACATCAGTCTTGTGTTCATGTATTCATTCTTTGATGGATCTTCACCTTGCTGTTCACTGCATTTATATTGATCACATTGATTATATGAATAAAGGCTATGAAGAAAATTAATTAACTAATGTTTTGGTTTGTTAACGAGGTTTGGATAAGCGATTTCACCTCATCCAGGATGAGGACTGCGGGGGCAGCCATGCTGCCGACTCTCGCCATGGTGGAGACGAAGCCCATTCCTGTCTGCCTGAAAACACAACACACATCATGAGATCAATACTCACAGATCAATAGATTATCTGATTTAATATCACATTATTATCAAGTAACGGAATCATCAATAGTTTGAATTCTCTGTATTTAGCCTACATCTTCTTATAAACCATGAAATAACTTAATGTGAGTTTATAAGAAGGCCCAAATACTGAACGATCTGTGATAGATAATGTTTCTCCTCACTCAGTAACTCTAATAATGTATAATATATATAATATAAACTAATAATAGTGTGATTTTTAAATGGAGTCTGGTGATACTGTGGTTATTAGTCCAGTGTGACGTGTTAATAGCCATTGTAAACAACAACAACAACAACACTACAACTGATGGAGGTCCTGAAAGAAACTATGTTAATAAAAAAATTTGAGCTTGTCTTCCTTTTCATATTAATATTAACAATCTTATTAATAGACTGCCGTATGTGGTCAAACCACAAATGTTTGTCTGTATGCTGATGATACACAGCTATACGTCTCCATCATAAAATATTGTTTATATCTCACTTGAGCATAAACAAGACGTAAAATTCAGGGGCGTTCACTCTGCTGCTGATGGGGACACACAGCTGACCAATGGTGTACCTTCAGCTTTATAAAAATACATCCTTTGAGTTGTTAAGTTTGGAAACATAAAGTCTTCATGAAGTCACAACCAATAAGTCTCCTGTACCTCAGTATCTGTCCCAGCAATGACAGTTAGTCCTGCTTCAAATATTTTCAAGTGTTTTATCCTTCCACTTTCCATTCTGCACTGAAGCAGGAGTCTCACCTGATGATGGTGGGGTAGAGCTCTCCAGTGTACAGGTAAACGGTGGTGAAGGAGGCTGAGGTGAAACCTTTACCAAGACACGCCAACGTGGTCCTGATTGTTTGCATGTCTGTGGGGGATTCACAAGAACAGCAGTCAGCTGTGGGACTGAAACTCCAGGTGCATTGTGGGAGTAGAGGAGAGCTCAGAATGAGTTGTTTGCAGCTGAATTACAGGTGTTACAGCCTTAAACCGCGTTCTCAGGTGTCCTCAGGTGTGACATCACTGTCAATGAGTCCTCACTGGTACAGAAATACAAATGAGTGTGTACATTTGTATGATTGTCTGTTAGGTTGCGTGTTTGTTGCCTGTGTATGAGTATAAGTATCAGGTGTGTGTGTTTGTTACCTGTGTGTGTGTGTGTGTGTGTATGTGTGTGTGTCAGGTGTGTGTGTGTTTGTTACCTGTGTGTGTCAGGTTTGTGTTTTTGTTGCCTGTGTATGAGTATAAGTATAAGGTGTGTGTGTTGGTTACCTGTGTGTATGTGTGTGTGTCGTGTGTGTGTTTGTTACTTGTGTGTGTGTGTGTGTGTGTGTGTGTATCAGGTGTGTGTGTGTATCAGGTGTGTG